GCAGCTGTCGCTCCCGGCGGTGTCACACCGCAGGCGACCCCCGCGGTATCCTACCAGTTCCAGGGCGGGTTTAGGTGCTACTTAAAGCTTTAGCTTGAGACGGGCTACTGTCAGTGCTCGTTACAAAGACGAGTTAGAATAGGGAGAGGCCACGCTGAACGTGTCTTTCTGGTGGAGCCGCTGGTGTGTGAGAACAAGGAGAATCTTCTACAGCACCTCCATAAGTTGTCTCTGCAAGTAACATCAGTGTCGTGCCACACATGTATGTTATTTCATCAGCTCTCTCGGGGTGGAACTTGATAGAGAAGTTCATCATACATGACACAGAACTGTAACTGAGACCAAGGCGTGAAGCTCCTACTCAGAGCACAGAACTGTAACTACTTCTGCAGTTCTTTGGCTGTGTCTTATGTTGGCACCCACTGAACAGCATCTGGTCTAAGATCTCTGGCAAGGTTTGCAATACCTTACATAACATGCCCCCATGGTTTCTTGAAAAATGATTTTTCCACATCTACAGCAATATTACCTTTCACATAGCCTGCCACTGGATCAATAACACTGTTTCCTCTGGTAGGAAACTTGTATACCAGGGAGAATAGATTGTAACAAAAGCTGCACCAGGGTTAATGGTGTGTGAGGAGGAGTCTGGCAGTGGCCCTGAGACTTAGAGTTAGCATTCTCTGATACATTCACAAAAGACTATGCAAATCTGTGATGGCTTTCAGTCACAGGGAGACCAAGAGTTATTTCTGGCTTTTACGTGGTATATGTTCAATGAGCACAGTGTTGAGCCCAACTTAAACCACAGGGTACAGGACAGAAGCGTAAAGAACTGAGAATATCTGAGCTATGTTGGTACTGAAGCATTAACCTGAGGAAGGCTTTTTTTTTTTAACCCCCATGGGTGTGCTCTGCTCTATATTCATGGTCACATAGCAGCGTTTTGTGGTGGGGTTTTTTACGTAGTGGAAGACAGTTAACTTCAGGATTTTCCCATTGATTCTTTAGCTCTGTCTACTTCCTTGGATATTGGGCTGAGTAACTGGAGCTTCCTGTACGTCACTGTCTCCCTGTGAGTACTAACACCACCTTTCCTGGGGAATGCAGTGTAGAAGTGGGTGATCTGGTTCCTAATAGTATTTCTCTGGGAAGGACTACACTGGAGGAGGCTGACAGTGTGTTTTGGTCCTTACAGCTACACGATGACCAAATCCTCTGCCATTCTCTTCATCCTGCTTTTTTCACTGCTCTTCAAGCTGGAGGAAGTGGTAAGGGTCCCACACAATCCTTTAGGGAGGAAAAAGGTCAGGCCCAGGGAAATAGGCAATACATGCACAAGAAACATGTAAGTAGAGGAAGAATGCAATTATGTGGATGAATCTGAAAGGAAGGAGGTGTCTGCTCAGCTCCAGGAGTCTGTTAGTTACTCTGTGTTTGCTCTCATGCAGAGGGTGACATTGCTGCTGGTGGTTCTGCTCATCGCTGGGGGACTCTTCATGTTCACCTACAAGTCCACACAGTTCAACACTCAGGGGTTTGTGCTGGTGCTTTGTGCCTCTTTCCTTGGAGGCATTCGCTGGACTCTCACGCAGATACTTATGCAGAAGGCTGAACTGGGTATGTGGAGTGTTAGGAAGTGGGTGCTGCTGCTGGTAACAGGGAAGGGAATAAGAAGGTGATAGCCCTTGCTGCAGAAACAAAACATCTTGTGTAAGGGGTGGTGTTTGAAACCTGGAGCAAGGGTTATCTGTTGGTGGTTAATGAAGGTGGCTTGGTGTCTGCAGCAGCACAGGTGTGGGTGTTCACAAATAAGGTGCTGATAAAGGCTCAAGGAGCTATGTTATTCCCTGATTTGTTTCTACCTGGTCTGTTACTGATTCTCCTCTTTCAGGGCTCCAGAATCCCATTGATATCATGTTTCACCTGCAGCCGCTCATGTTCCTGGGGCTCTTCCCACTCTTTGCTGTGTTTGAGGGTGCGTGAGTTAATTAGAGAAGTAGGGATAGCTTTATAGAGTGGTTGGGGAGATTGCTTAGCAGTTTGGTGTTTGAGATGATTCGTTTTGATAAGTGAACAGCTGTGAACTTTACAAAGTAGTTAGATGGAATTAACTTATGCTGGCTGAGCATTAAAGAGAGAGTGCCTAGGAATTGTAACCTGCCATACTTGTGGGAGTAAGGGCTATGAAGAACTGGCTCCACATCCTCCTGATACTGGAATGTGAGCAGCCCATCCTTATCCATGTTGTCCTGGGAGTGGGAAGGGTGTTCTGCTACTCACTGTCTTGTTCCTAGGCCTGCCTTTGTCCATATCAGTGCTGGCTGAGCATTAAAGAGAGAGTGCCTAGGAATTGTAACCTGCCATACTTGTGGGAGTAAGGGCTATGAAGAACTGGCTCCACATCCTCCTGATACTGGAATGTGAGCAGCCCATCCTTATCCATGTTGTCCTGGGAGTGGGAAGGGTGTTCTGCTACTCACTGTCTTGTTCCTAGGCCTGCCTTTGTCCATATCAGAGAAGCTCTTTCCATGAAGTAATGCTGTTCTCTCTGGTAGGGAAGCTGTTCTTGGGTGGAATTCTTGCCTTTGGTCTAGGCTTTTCTGAGTTCCTCTTGGTTTCCAGAACATCTAGCCTCACCCTTTCCATTGCTGGCATTTTCAAGGTAAGGCATGGTTCCTGTGCTAATGCTAGAAGGCAAGTACTAAGTCATCCCTAATGGGCCTTACATGGTGGGAACTTGTTTAGAGCCTTAGAAATTGTTGCCTGTTACTTTTGTTCTCCTTGTAAAGGAGCTTGATGCTTTGCCTTGCAGTCTCTGCAGTGAAGTCCCTTGGTCCCTGACAGCAAGGGACAGAGACTAGTGCCTGTTCTATAAAAAATACCATTAATGACCAAAGTTTTGTGGGATGTGGGGTGGACTAAAACACGTGGGCCTCGTGAGCAACAGGTGGTTCAGAAGGGAGGAGGGGTAAGAAGGACATGCTCTTGCATCAGACCTGTATGTGAACAAACCACTGGTCTGAGCTATCTCTGTAACCGCATTTGGCACATCCTCCTCTCCTTTGAGGAGTCCAGCACACGTACTTCTGAGCTGAACTGTGACATGTGAAATCTGTCTGATCCAGAAGTTGCAAGATTCCTGTGTAACCAAGCTGTGCAGTCAGATGACTTAAAATCCCACATCGCAGTGTGACAGGTTGTTTGTTTCTAGACACTGTTTTTAGAACTCTGTGCGCATGACAGAATGTGCTGATAAAAATTTAGCAGCCTGACATCTTGATCTAGGATTGAGCTATAAAATGTCTCATGCATATCTCCTCAGGTGCTGCCCTGCCACTTGTCATGTTTTTTTGTTTCCACAGGAAATCTGCATTTTATTCCTGGCCACACATTTGCTGGGAGATCGCCTCAGTCTCTTGAACTGGCTGGGCTTTGCTGTCTGTCTGTTGGGAATCTCCCTTCATGTCGTTCTCAAAGCCATGAATTCCAAAGGTGATTGTTTTAAATCACTTTCTGTTTCTTTGTAGGCATTCTCATAGCCTCACTAGGAGCTGTGTCTGGCTCCTGCTCCTTGCCAGCACCAGGTTTGGTGGGTACTCCAGCAAGTTTGCCACTAAATGGGCTGTCTGCATGCAGGTGACAAAATGCTGGAGCCACACAAAGAGATCAGCCCCAACCCTGACCTGGAGCTGCTGCTGCACCACACTGAACGTGGGGAGGAGGAGGAAGAGACTGTTGAAACCCCACAACACCACTGACTGAACATGAAGCACAAAGCTCCCTGCTCTCTTCTTACCAAACCTGCCTGACAGCTATCTAGAAGGAAAGTCCAAAAGGCTCAGTGGCCGTCCAAAGGAGAGGCAGGGCAGGGCAAGAGATTCTGCTGTTCTACTGCAGTCTAGATCTGTAGATGCTGTACAAGAAATGGGCAATATCCCTTTCACAGGAAGTGAACTTGGAAGACAAGCTCTGGTTCAGTGGAGATGGAATGGTGTGGTGAGATGGGGAAATGCTGTTAGGGGACCTTGCAGGCTGTATGCTGAGAGCATAGACCATGAGCTGTAGAACAAGCATGAACGTGTGTGGACTGTAGGCTGAGTGGTTCAGGAATGATTTTACTGTGTGTTTAGGCTTTGGCTTCAAAAGAGAAGGTAGGCATACCTTCCCTTGGCAGTTTTTTTGTGTTTCTGCAAAGTAGGAACTCCCATCCTGGTGAGAGCAGATGACTGTATAAATCTGTAGAGTTGTCTGAGTGAGAAGGACTCTTTGTGCCTGGTGACCTCCATGTTCTGTGTGCATAGCAAGGAGAGAATTAAATGCTGGTATTTGGGACCAATGGAACATGCCAAGTGTTGTTGGTTGGAGGAAGGACAGGGCTGTATGAGTGCTTTGGTGCTACAGGCCACAGGGAGAGAACAGCGTCACAGGAGATCTAACTTGAGCAATAAACTTATCAGAAAGTATGTGGGGTTTTGAGGGGGGATTTTCTGTTTTTTAAATAAACTGCTTTTCTGATTCCCTTTTGTCTGTATATTATATACCTATGCTTCATCAGGCAGAGGTCATTTGTCTTCTGCACTCCTTTCCTTTTAGACCTGCTCATTTCTTTTTAGACCTACACTGCCCTTGCCATTGCATGCAGAATTATTTCTGAGGCCTTGCACACAAAATACTTGCCCAGAAACAGGATCCTTGATCTCTAGAACTAGAGGGATCTTCCTGCAACATCTCTCATTTATGCCAGCCAAGAGAGCAAACTGACTCCTCTGACTTGATGCACCATGTCCTAAGGAGACTTTAGTAATTTGGGGGTTTGTAGGCTCTTTTTCTCATTGGATTGGATCACTTAGTCCTGCAGCCTTGTCCAGGAAGGGGAAATAGTATAGGGTTGTGTATTTTTCCTTTCTGCTAAGCCCCAAGTGATGTTGGGCAAGTGGCTTGATTTTTTTGCGTGGCAGAATTTTCACCTCTTTGAAAGTTTTGTTTGGAGTTTTTGGAGTGGTGATAACTTGAGAGCTTCCTCAAGGGGTAACACAGTAATCTTTCTCCTGAGAGGAGCTGGTTATAAAAGGGAACTTCTCATATTCTGTTTGAGCACCTGAACCATTTTGACTAGTCTGTCTCTCTGTTCTTCTTGCTTCATAGTTTTCAGATATGAACTCTTTCTTGGTGACTTTAATCAAGAGCATGTTGTGCAAAAAAGAAAACTGGTTCTGAAGAAGAAAGCTTTTGCTGATGGTGGTCGTCTTTGATGGTGTTCTGGTAACTGGCTCCAGAGCAGACAGCAGGTGGTGCAGCTTCCTCATGTAAAGCTACTGAACCAGCACTTCCATGCCAGGCTGGCACACCAAGGGATTTAGTGCATCAAGTAGAATGCCTGGAGCTGAGAATGACTTGGTTTGTCCCTGGTTGGATTTTCCAATAGCTGGGGCTTGTGATGCTTCCAGCAGGATTCACCCTGTTTACCCTACCAATAGGTGTGAGCCCCAAGCACTGAATACTCCACTTGATGTGGGGCAGTGGTGCTTTCTGCACATGATCTGTGTTTAGCAGTGTCACAGCTGCTCTTTGCATTTCACTTTCCACCCTCCTAGAGCTGAACCTCAGGCATTCTTCTACTGTGTGACTCTGAGACTGCCATTTCAGGTCCCTGCAAATCCAAGGTAAAGGCAGTTTTGTTCCCAGGCCAGAATTTGTGCCAGATATGGTGCTTGAAGATGAAATCTGATTGTGCTTGTGCACTGTAGAGCCCTGTAGTCTGTTGCTTCCAGTCTTGTTTGCTTTTTAAGACAGAGCTGATTCCCTAGACCTCCAGCTCTGTCCTGGAGCTCTCAGAGCAAACCTTGATTGCCTGCAGTTAGGTGTACTTGATTTCGTAGACTCGGCTAGTGCTAGCAGCAGGTTTAGTGTAGGAGATCAGTGAGCAAAGTAAAAAGACTGTGGCAGGGGTCCATGCAGGAACTGGCAAGAAGGAGTAACAGCATTGAGATTCTTCGGGAAAATGGCACTGTTCCTCTAGGCAACTCCAAGTGGGGCATGGTGTGGGGCTCCTTTCTGTCCACATGTTACGTGGCTCCCAAAAGCCTCAAGGGTTGAGGGGAAGGATCCCATGTGAGTGGTCACTACCAACCTCCTGGAGTCAATTCCTGGAAAAAGTCTGTAAAGGGAAGGTCTGTAAAGGAAGTTGGTGGGCCTAATCTTCACTTGCTGTAGTCCTGCCTCCAAGCTGAGTTGCTCTGCACCTGGATGTGCTCTTGCTCAGGAGCAGGACTAGGGTGCTGGGTGATTACTAGGGAACATGATGGAGTTGTGGGCCAGCTTGGGAGGAGTGTGGTGGAACTGTCTGCTCGTGCAGGGCAGTGCAGTAGAATGTTAAAGCAGCAGCACAGTTCATCTGTTGAACACTCCATCTTGCTTGGATGGGCACTAACAATGAAAGGAAGAAAGAACCCCTGCCCACCCTCTTTCATATAAAGAAAAATCCTACCGTGCATTGAAAATGCCAGAGATGGAGAAAGAGTTCAGGATGAAGGACTGAGAGGAGTGCTGCAGCAATGGCACAAAGAAAATGAGAAGGCACAATCTTGTAGTGATAGCATTGAAGTGCAGACTGTAGGCATGAAGAAGTAGGGTTGGAGTCTGCTGAGGAAACAGGGTAGAAGTATGGACAGGATGTTAGTGGGAGCTGGGAGTACCAGTAGATCATTTTTCCATCTGGAAATAGCCCTGGGTAGCTGTGCAGCTGCTTGGATTTGTACAGAGGTAGTCAAGGCCTCTTGGTGTTGCTGAAGCTGTTTGAGGTTTGGATCGATGCAGTGGCTTGGGATTGGAAACACTGGGTAAACATTGCTCTGTGTACAGGCACAGGGCTGTGTGAGGTTTCTCCGTGCCACAGTGTTGTCTGTGTGGTGTTCTGTGAGGAGTGGTGAACTCTATCGATCGCACAGGTGATTTTCTGACAACCTCCAAGTTGGGCCACTTTAGGGGATGGGAGAAGTAGTTTTCTGTGCAGACAACGATGGTGTGGAACAGTTTGATTCCATCCCCCTTCCTCAAAGGAAGCGTGTGAAGGCTGAAGGTGCTGGAACTCCTCTGGAGCACTGCAGTGCTGGGGAGGTGTGTGTGCTTGCAGCAGCACAGACAGATGAGCCCTTTTGCTGGGGAGGACATGCACGTGTGATTGTGCTGCTCAGGCCTTCCCCATCAGTGCTGCCCACACACAGCCACACGTGGAAGTGGAGAGCTGCCAGTGAATATTGATGGTGTTTGAACTAATTAACCAGCGGAAGCAAAGCTGAATGAGTCTCGGAGGTGCTGCTCTCCTTCCGCAAACTCTGTTCTTGCCTGTAAGACCAGGTGTTTACATGTGTGATGATTCTGCCTCCCTGCCCATTCCCCTGGGAGGCCTCTTTATTTGAAGAGCAGATGCTTGGCTTCCTGCTAAAATTTCAATATCATAAACATCCTGAGGGCAAGGAGAAAGTGTCCCTGCAGACCCCTCTGCACTCCTCTGGTCCTCTGCCCAGCAAACAAGGTTTGTAATCTCAGCAAGCTTACTGTGGGGAAGTCGGCCTGCCTCTAAAACACACAGGAGGAGCAAGGCAGAGCAGCAACACAGGGTCTGCTGCTCAGAAGTAGGCCTGCCTCAAGATGTGCTTCCTTTCTTTTTTCAGCTGAACATCACTGCAGTTTTTTATTACATGGTTTGTGGTTGGTGCCTTGTGAGGTGGGGAAGGGAAAGCTTGGGGTCACCACCAGCCCGGGGCTGAAAGGGGCTCACATTCACCTGCAATCTTTGCAGTAGCAAAAAATTGCCCTGACACCAATACCCCTGCTTCCGTACTCAGGCTCTTGTTTTCCCCCTCATCACTGGGGTATGCAGGTTTTGATGTTCACAGTCTTGGGTCTCTGCAGGATTTTGTTGGTAATTTCACCAACCATTGTTCTCTCCCCATTGTTGTGATACTAACCCTGCATCAGCCACCTTCCTCAACTGCCACTTCACCCCCAGGAAGGCAAAGGCTTTGAGCAGAGAAGAGGGGGAAAGGCAGCTGGCCAAAAAAGGTGGAGGTATGTCAGAAAACAAGGAATGTGAATGGTTGGAGATGGCAATCACAGAATGGTTGAGGTTGGAAGGGACCTCAGAGGTCATCTTTTCCACCCCCTTGCTCAAGCAGAGCCACCTAGAGCTGCTGCCCAGGAATGTGTCCAGATGGCTTTTGAATATCTCTGAGGATGGAGACTGCAAATTCTCTGGGCAACCTGTGCCAGTGCTCAGCCATCCTCATGGTGAAAAAGTGGTTCCTGGCTCCGTCCTCTTTCCATCCTCCTGTCAGGTATTTTTATACATTGGCAAGTTTCCCCTGAGCCTTCCCTTCTGCAGGCTGAACAGACCCAGCTGTCAGCCTTCCCCCATATGTGAGGTGCTCCCAGTCCCCTCATAATCTTTGTTGCCCTTTGCTAGACTCTTTCCAGTATGTCCATGTCTCCTGTAATGATAAGCCCAGTTCTGGCTCTCCAGGTGTGGCCTCACCAGTGCTGAATAAAGGAAAGGATCACCTCTCTTGACCTGCTGGCAATTCTTTACCTCATGCTCCCCAGGATATCATTCCCTTCTTTGTGGCAAGGGCACGTTGTTAGCTCACGTGAAGATGCAGGTTTGCAGTTAGAGGCAAGAAGCTGCCCAGTCTAACACTGCAAGAGGGTTTGCTGAGGCATAGAGCTGTCCTGCAAGACCCACACTAGCATAAGTAGCCCT